AGATAGCAGCTTCCTGGTGTAGAACATTTTCAGCTCCCTGAAACAGATTTATCAAGCATCTTTACTGTCTCAACACTGCCAGCTCAAATGACTTCTCAAGGAGCTTTGGTTACACGATCTTTTTAAAAGGTGTGTATATTTATATATAACGTTCTTTTTTAACTAACTCAGTGAAGCGGTTCAAATCTGGTGCAGGGTGTCACCGCGGGTCAGGAAAGCCGCACTCCATTTGTCCGCCATGGCCAGCCTTTAAATAACATCAAAATTTTCACCAGCTGTGAGAAGTGACAAAACAGCGTAGGTGAGAGCAGACTGATGTGCACCCAGGATAGCTGCACATTGTGAGTATGGAGAGGGCAACCTGCAGTGACACGAGCTGGAAAGAACATTTTCTTGGCATAATTAGAGGATGCAGGAGTAATCGTTTCAGGGTGTAAGGTCTGCTAAACAAAATATTCCTTTTTGAGTCCTCCTCTGAATCCTGTCTGACTCAAAGAAGTAAGAGAAACAGAAAATCCTTAGTTGGTGTCCTGTCCTCCCAGATGGCCGCGGAAGCACAAAGAGGGATGAGTAAACACAAAAGGATCTGCCCGAATGACTTCCTTGCTGCTTGTTGCTGCAGTTCACCACACGGGATCATTCAATGATGCAGAGTTTAAAGACTCGTTCAAAGAGCTTCTAGGTTGTGCTACAGAAGCTCCGTCTGGAAAACATCTCATGAGGCCTTGGGACAGGCTGGGGACAAATGAGCATTATTTCTTTTTATCGAATTCTTACAAAACTTGTTTTCTGAAGAGAACTTACAGCAGGTCACGTTAACACGGGAGTGTTCATCAAGCCGCATCACTAGTGCGATGTGTTTTGGAGGGCTGCAGTTAGCTTGTCATCCCTGTAAAGCCTTTTACTAAAACACTGAATTATAGCTCTTTTGGGGCTGCGCTGCACTAGCTGCTTTTAGGTCTTATTCTTGCTCTTATACTCCTGTATTTGACTGTATCCAGTGCTTTATATTGTTTTCTTGTGGATTCGTTTTGTATTTCAGAAGCCTGAACAGCATTTCTATTCAAATCATGTTTCACTCTAACTTGAACAACCATGTTCTGTGGTTAGGGGACCCTTGAGATAATAGGAACATTACATGTTTTGTGATATTCCTGTTGTGATGTTATGTTTTTTTGAGTCAGTGGTGCCACATCAATTACACTGAACCAGGATAGTCTAAGTCTGCTTACCACTGATAACACTTAATTGTGTGGTTTCGCCAGTGGCAGTAATGGGCCAGTATCATCATTTTTCTACACTTTTAATCAGCAGTGGTGCTCTAGTGCTCTAAGAACACAGGCGTTACTGAGTTTTAAGACTTGATCTCTCATGTTTATTCCCCTTTGAGAAGCTTTCACTTTTCTAAAAATATGTTTACTTCAAGCAGTTGTTCTGACGTACATAAGCTGCATGCGTCCGTTGAGATCCGCCTGTCTAGAGCTCTTGTCTGCCTTGTGTTCTGCTTGGAATCTGGCATCATGCAAGAACAGACAAGGCGGAGCAAGGAAATAGTATGAATGCTCCATAAAGCAGGTATAGATTGAAACCATCTGCCGCTATCCTGCTGTTTTGCTCTTTGGTTGTGCTCTTATCTAGAAATCTTCAAGTCTTTTGTGAACATTGCATTAAGCCTCCCACAGCCCTTCTCCTCCTTCCCCAGGAAATGACATTATCATCCCTTGTTTGTAGATGAGGAATTGAAGGACTGAGCGATGTAGTGACTTGTCCAAGGTCAACTGCTGAATTAGTGGCATGGCTATGAATAGACATTCCAACTCTCAGCATTCTGCTAAACAAGATCATGCCCTCCCAATATCTATTTGTCACAACTTAATGACTAATAACTTCTAGAATGTGGCAGAATTTATTTTCAGCCAGCAAACAGGTAATTCTTCCTTCTGCCAGCTGCAGAACAGCACACACCTCCTGTGTCCCTGCAAATCTGTCTGTCACTTTGTTTCTTGTAAAAGATGATATGAGGACAGTTGAGAACTACTTGTACAAAAGTATTTTACCCTTTGAGCATGGCTCTTTGTTGTTTTGCAAGGTGCTGTAGGTTCTTACCTGCATGTTCATTTTGGGGATAAAAACAAAGCGACTGGATGCAATTCTTCATTCTCCTTAGTATAACAGTAATGAAATAAGTGTTCTGGCAGCAGTTTGACTTCAAAACTTCATCCTCTTTAAAAGAAATGATAAACTCCTGTGCAGTCTGCTACCCCTTGTTATCGAAAGGTAAAAGTAATTGAACTAAAGTCCTCTCAGGGGAGAAGCAAGAGAAATGAATTTTGTGTTATGCTAATCAGGAAGTCATCTGTCTGCAACTGGTCACTTCACTGCTTACATTGCACAGTCCTGTAAAGGCTGCATAAGAAGCTTTGTGATGAACAAATGTCAAGGGCAATTAATTCTTTGGCAGGCAGCTGTTATTATTAGGACAAAGAATGGCCAGACATAAAAGGAAAGCCTCCATCTGATTTATTTTCTCTGTCTTTTCCATCAAAACTGGTAACTCACCGAAACCCCCATGATGAACGTCAATGTAATGAGAATTTTAAATCTGCCTTCTCTTTGTAGTGGGAAATCCTATATTGAGTTTAGAAAACAGAGGAAAAGCTGAGAGAAAATGTTTGGAAAGTCTTCATCACTCTAATGCTATCAGCAAGAGAAGAGTTGTGTGTTAAGCTGGTAACAATAATATGTGGGCTGAGTTAAGCCCACTTCAGGCTTTTTTCTTTTTTTTTTTTTTTTTCCCCTCAACCTTAACTGATGGAAACTGCCCACTTCTATGCTTGATTTATTACCTTAGCCGAGTTATCCCAGGATTGCTGCATTGCAACTGTGGGTGTTCAAAACACACCCACTCTGCCAAAGAATCAGGAAGGATGTACTTAAAACCCTCTAATTTATCTAATAACATCTTTACTGGCTTTTTGTGTAGGTTTAGTATTGTAATGGAAATACATGCTTTGGTTAGATAAAGAGACCCTGTGCAAAACTGCTAGCATCGCCTAAGTAGTCTGTAGAGACATGTAAATAGCGCTGGGTGACTGGGGAAATGCTCTGGCTTCCTACACTGTAAATGCACCTTCCAATTTTCTGATCTGTCACTAAGGTTAAAATAGTAAAATCTAAAATTTCCAGTGTGAATGCTCATGACAGGGTGTGCCTTGTTTTCACAGATGGGGCCTTCCTACCCCAGGAACAGAGGCTCCCGGTGCTGGGGAATATTTTCCTGTGCCTTTTAGGTCCTGTGTCTGCTCTGTTAACTACTGTTTTGACTTAACTCTTAGGTTCCTGCTTTGCCCAGTGGGTTGGACATTAACAAAAACTCTATGCATTTCTCCAGAATGCAAATCTTACAGAGTTGCTAGCTCTGTTGACATAATTATTATATTCCAGGTATAACAAGCTCTTGCTTTTGTTGTAGCACAGAAATTGTATGTAGCATCAACAGTAACCAGCACCACTGCGCTGGAGTATTGGAGCTAATAATAGAAAGGAAAACCTGTTCTTTGTGAGCTAAATCGGGGCAGAGAAGACTAGATAGGAAATCACCTTCCACGTGCACTACAAGTAAAGGAGGGCCCTATGTGTTACGTTCTTACTCCTTACTCTTGCCACCAAGTATTGCTGTCTGTAAATAGCATCAGAGGTCTGCTGTTGTGCTGGAACAGCCAGCGCTCACACAGCGGATTTTGGCACGAGTGAGGAAATATTCCTCCTGACGCTGCAAGAGTAGAACGAGTGCCTTTCTGCAAAACCGTGAGGGTCAGGACTTGTCTCATGATGATGTATTTATTCCTATTGCTGTGTTTAGGCAATTCACAGATATACTGAAGAGTAAATAATGAAAGTTGGAAGACCTATTTTGTGTACATTTTCTAAATCAGTTGCATAACCCTGCTGTTTGTAACAGCATTTGTTATTTAGTATCTGGAAAACATTGTGGCAAAATGGCTTTTTCAATAAAACACCGAGTACTATAAATCTAACTGAAGTTTTTTTCCCGAATTCAGTGTTTGCTTCTGAAGTGACGGTGCACGGGTCAGCCTAGGACTGCAGTTATCTGTCCTGGGCAGCGTACCAAATGTGAATAAAAATGACTCTCACCACGTGCTTCTCGGGCTTCAGTATGAGGTCTGACAAGGGCGGTTTTGTGCATAGATGTCCATCCATTCTGGGCCTGGTTGGGCATGCCTTGGTAACCTCCTTGCTAACCTCAGTGTTAAGTTAAGGCAGACAGACAGAAAATATGAAGCTATGCACAAATTAAAGTACATTAAGCTTCTCTTGAATGACAACATGTACATGTAAGGTGGCCTTGGTTTGCTATAGATTAATTAATCTTAGGAGATATCAAGCTTAATTAAGCTACAGTGTGTTAAAGCCACTTTACTTTGAAAGAGATCATTCATAAGGGAGCTTAATTCACTTTTAACTTGATGCACAACAACTTTGTACCTCCATGGCTTTACATTACCTTTCCTCAGTGTCCCTTGGCAGGATTTGGAAACTTTGAAAAGCAAGGGCTTCTTTAGCCTTAAAACTTCAAATCAGGTTTCTAAAGAAAACATAAGAAACTGGACAGATTTGAGATAAGTGGATAATTTACATGGAGAAAATATGTGCTAGGCAAGTATTGCATGATAAGCTCTGGAGGTGTGTTCAAGTCTTGGTTTTAAAAAACACAGAAAGGATACGAAATGGAGCATTAAAACCTAAAAGACAGGAAAAAAAAGTGAAGTGAGGCTACTAAAATCCACGTGATAAGTCCTGCATGCAGAACTGCAGCATTATCTAACAAATAAGAATCAAAATTTTGCAAGTCTTGGACAAAATTCATATTCAAATATATTTATAGGAAAGTTTTATGTATTACCCTAATTGCAAGTTGCCTTCTTAAATCAGATGAAAATATCCTCTTATGCTTTTCTTTTTGTTTTCTTGTTTTTCAGTAATTGTCCTTCATTTTTGGCTGCTGCTTTAGCTAGAGCAACTTCAGATGAAGTCCTTCAGAGTGATCTATCTGTACATTACTTACCAAAGCATGTGGACAATGCAGATGGGATCATACGTAAGTACCTCTGTGCATAGTAACATGCAATTTTGTGCGGTGTGGATCTTTCATTTACACACTATACCAGACCGTATGATATGTATATTTTGCAGATAATTCATAGATTTTAAGGTCAAAATTGACTGCAGAAATCCATCTACTCTGACCCTTTGAATTTGGGAACCTAGATTGTTCCCAAATTAGTTTCTGCTACCAGCTAGCTATGTGGCTTACATGGCTCCTTTTGAAATTGAATGTCCTGTTGTAGTCTATAAAGATCATTGGAAAATTCACCACTGATCTAGATAGATCTAATGGCTAATTTCTTTCAAAGTCAAAGCTTTCTGATTTTTGAATCTTCGTTTAGTTCCAGCTTTTACCATGGAATTCTGTTTCATAGTTATTTTAAAATACTTTTTTTGCGTTGTTCTCAAGTCTTTTTAATGAGTTTTGTTCCTTAAGACCAGGTGAAAGTAACTCTTTACTTTTAAGTACATTTCCATAAGGCCTAGGGCTGTATCTGGTGACCCTGATTTCCTTTATAAGGACTTTAAACTATGCCAGCAAGCAGCAGGACCACAAACACCAGTTGTCCTCCTTCATCCTTACAGCAAAGACAAATGTAGGTGGGAAGAGAGAATTAAATTCTGAATAATTTCAGTCATAAGAGGTTTTTATCAGGGCTTTTAATCTTTTTAATAGTATCAGTGATGATAATGTTATCCCTTATAAAGATGTTTTGTGCTTAAAAGGAAATTTTCTTTTCTCCATTTATTTCTCTTGGCTAACAAGATTTTTCCATCATTCAGCACAAAGCCATGCATCCTAAATCATTTGGGGATTCTGCTGGCTAAACAGCCTTGCAAATCTTTGGGTTGCTCTTTATGATGAACAGCAATATTCCTTGAATGTATTTACATGAATTCTGTCATTCCATCTGGAAAATACATAATCACTAAAGCACTGTGTTCATGACTCTTCTTGGAGGGGAAAAAAAAAAAAAAAAAGATTCTGGAAATACGTAAAAGATGTAAGTCTGACTCTTTAAAGAAGGAGGTTCTAGTGTATTCTGAGAGGCCTTTGCAGACCTAAGAGAAAGCAGAACATGCTTTGGGCTCCCTTTCAGTATGTATTGCTGCCTCCTCCCGCTGAGCAGGTAAACAGAATAGATTTGTCATTGTTCTGGCTGAGCAGCCTTCATTAATTTCAAATTGAGATCTCTGAGACTTACATAAATATTTGACAGTCTCCAAGGAAATGTTGACTAAGCCTCCACACAGAATATTTAATGAGTTCAAAAAAAAAAAAAAGGGAAGGAAAAGAAAATAAAACCTTCAGAAATTTCCATTTAAAGATATTTAAATTTGTAATACAAGGAAGCAAGCATAGACTGATGTGCATACAAGCTAGAGTAGCTAAAAATATGGGACTCCAGATGCAGTATGTTGGGGTAGAAGAAGAAGCTTCAAAGACAACTGAAAGACTTTTGATTTTGTTTTTGAAAGGTTGGGTTAGGAGTTAAGGGTGTTTTCAGTCAAGGAAGGTATTCAGCTGGGGACTGCGCTTGCAGAGGTACTTCTGAAGGAGGGTGGGCTGTGTTATTTGCTGGAGATATCTAAAATATCCAGCCGGTTACTGGTATCCTCCCCACACCAATTTTGCTCTAGAAGTCAACCATCTTCAGCAACAATACTGCCTAAACTGGATTTCCCACTAGCCGTGGCACAATTAAGCATTGCTTCCAGTGCTGGGGATTTTAGAGCAGCACTGAAGGAACAGCAGGAGGGAAATGAAATTCTCCATGACACAACCACAGTGACAGCTGACTCAGCTCTGGCTCAGTGCTGCAGCATTAACGATTGATGAGTAATTTACAGCTGTGAGGGGGTGGTTTGACTGTTGCGGGCCTTTCTCCTGTTTTAATCTTGAGCAACAATTATTGATGATGCTGACACTACGCATATTCCCTGCAGGGGAAGGTTATTTAGTATCTCAGCACGACGAATGGGTTCACTTCATTCTTCCTTCAGAGTGACGCTCTGAATCGTAACAGCCACGTGACATGGAAATGTATGCGTTTCCCTTCGGAATATGCCTATTTGAATGCCTTTTCCTTTTAAATATGCTTCTTAGGAAAAATGGAGGAGGAATTCTGTGGGGTTCCCTTCTGGAAAATATAATTTAGATGTTTCGGCTTTGTATTTTCTGTTCCTAAATATATAATCCAGCAGAGAGATTTCTGTGAGCGCTAATAAGAGCAGCAAAGGCATTGCAGGAGAATTGGTTCACCTCACTGTGCTGCTGGTTACATGACCCAATTATCCGATTTCCAGCACTTGTTCTTAAAGCTGTATGATTAAGGAGCTAGGACTTCTTTTAATTATACATGTATCTTTTCATGCTTACTGGCTGATCTTACAGACCAGACTTGAACCACTTATACTCCCAGCTCTGCTAAATACCTATTCCTAGGAATCTTTTCCTTCCTTAAACTTCAGAGTGATTGTCAAGTGCTTGAGTTTTCACATTTTAAAAATATTGTTTTTCAAGAGTAATGATTCAGAATTTCCTTAAACTTAAGACCTCTATAGATTTCTCATTTGCTCATTCTGATTTCTTTGACACTCAGTCACTTCAGGAATCTGGAAATAAAAGCAAGAAACTTAGAAGGTACCTGAAAGTGCACACTTGAAATGCAGAGAGTGCTGAAATACTTTCAGAGTAACATTGTTAATTTTCGTATCTTATTTGCCACTTTCGTACCTCAGTTTAAGAGTGAGGTGTTTGCAGTGTGGTGAACAGGTAGACTGGTCTAAAAAACACTGCATCATTGTAGTGGATTATTGTTTCCATGTGCATTTTGTATGTGACACAATATTCCATGATGAAGTCTCTCTCAGAGCTTTTGTGGTCTGGCTGCACCACTTGCTATGGAGCTATCCTGGGGATCAAATCCTGAGGGTAACATACTTGCTTTTCATTTTTTAGTGAAGCTGCAAATGAGTTCCCCAAAGGCACAGGGGAATACTTGAGTTAAATTGACAATGAGCTGCTCACTGATTAATACTGTTCATGGTGAGTTTGTCCTCCTCTTCTCATGTTTCAGAATCTGGAATTTCCCTGCTGCCATCCATCTCGATTGCTTGGCTAAAATGATTTTATTTCACCTTTATAATGTATGCAAGAGAAAAAAACTCTCACTTAATCACTTAGGTACTCTTAGCCTTTTCTTTGTGTGTTTTTGTCCTCCCCAGAGATTGAGACAGTGAAGCTAGCCCGCTTAGTTTTCAGCAAACTCCATGAGATCTGCAGTAACTGGGTGAAAGACTTTCCACTCCAGTGGAAGCCCCACCGCTACTACGAGACATCCATCCATGCCATCAAAAACATGCGCAGGAAGATGGAAGACAAGCACGTCTGCATTCCAGACTTCAACATGCTCTTCAACCTCGAGGTAAAAAGAGTTTTTATGGAAGATAAATGCAGTTTGCTGTTCTCAGGCAAGATAGACTTTCTGTGAAAATGACAACTGTACCTGTGATGGGTCTAAGAAGGACTGACTGGCAGGAGACAAACCTGGTTTTAAGTTAGTTCAGTTGGCATTCTCTGACTATAGGTGCAATATAGCATGCAGTTTTTATGTAGGTTATAGAGGATAGATGTCTGATGATATGCCATCTAGCTAAACAAAGTTTGTATTTGCCCCATCCTGATGTATGTTCTTAATGCAGTGGCTGAAGAACTTATCTGCTATCCTACAGCAAGTGCAGCCCTGCTGTAGGGAGAGGCAACTGGCGCATTATGTTACCATGTGATAAAGCAAGGCAGGATCCGCTGTGTGGCTGAAGATGTCCAGCTGTAGAAGGGAGTTGCCTAGGGAAATGAGGAAGTGGTTCAGCTTACAGTTCATTGCCTGCAGGGGTGGGTTTGTACTGCCCTTCTGCCCTTTTTCTTCAGAGGAAGAAGCCAAAGCAGGAGTAAGGAAAGGGAGGGGCAGGGGAAAAAAAAAAAAAAAAAAAAAGAAGATGGCTAAGTTCACAGGAGCAGCTGGCAGCAGTAGAAGTCTGGTGGAATGAGGGCCAGACTTAGGTCTGTTACTTTCTTTATGTGGCCATCGTTCAAACACTCGTGCTTGTTCTTCCTTCGGGAATAAAACTGTGGGCACTGAGGAATGACAAACAGAAGAGAAGGGTAAGAATGTTGCCACTGGAATCAGATTGCTATATAATTGATTCCTTATTATATCCTGCTAGTTTAATAGCCATTTTCTGTGCTCTACCCAAATTCTTGCCTTTAAACCACATTAATGCAGAGAGGCAGATGTTTCCTTTGCCTGTCAATTGTCACCTCTCTTCCTTCCAATTTGTATTGGAGCCCATTACTTAGAAATTACAATGTATAAATATTCTAGTCTTTGAGATGGCTGTCAAGGTTGATTTGGCACTGACAGAAGGTTGGTGTGTTGTATGTATGAATAGGCACCGAAGTTATGTCTCTTGGTACTGGAGCATTGTTTCTCTGTTTGAACAGCTAAGGGGAAGCTGAGAAAATTAAATCAAAGATGAGTGATTTTGCTGTACTTGATTTGTGAATGTAATCACATTTAATTACCTGCTGAGATCTGCTGAGAGGATGCATAGAGATATTTTAAAAATAGATATCTAAGATGATATGGATTAGATTTTAGAAAGAATGAAAGCAAAGAGTAGCTGACTTGGTATTTTAACTGCACTAGTATTTTATGAGTAGGAGATTCCAATCTTGGTGTAGACTTCAGGCAAACCATATTGGACGTCCCTTTTACATGACTTCTGCAGTCACAAAAACTGCTGCACAATTTGATGGGAATGGCACTTTCTATTTGAGTTGAGTAATGGAAGGATAACAAATAGGACATAGGGAGCATTGAGAGAGCTACACAGGTAATTCTTGCAGGCATTTTTTTGTAGTTTGCAGGTAGAATTCATCTGCAGGAAAGTGGGAATTTGAGTGCGTGTCTCCTGTTGATGCAAGCAAAGGTGCCCTGAGTAGTTGGTTTTTCCAGGGGAGGTTCTACTTTTCAGTGCAGTTTAATGCTACATGCTGAACATTCACAGAGGACACTAGAAATCTCAAGTTCAAAAGTTTTGAAGAAAATTAATTGCTTATATATCTTTCTATCTTACTTATTTTCTCAATGTGTTTTCTTTGACAGGACCAAGAAGAGCAAGCTTACTTTGCAGTATTTGATGGTCATGGGGGAGTGGATGCTGCCATCTACGCTTCCATCCATCTCCATGTGAACCTGGTCCATCAGGAGATGTTTCAGTGTCCAGAAGGCAGCCAGAGAGGTGAACGAGCTCTCTGGGGAGGAAGGGAAGAGGGCTTGACCTCCAAAATATTAATTTGTAAATTGTAAAAACCACCTAAAACACTAGTACAGCAGCTCACAGGCACAGCCCAGCATCTGAAAGTGGGATTCCAGTTCAAGGAAAATTACAGGACAAAATCAATGACTTGCGGTTAGTGAGGCTAGTGCTAAGTGGCTGTTACTGAACAGTTATAACTGTAAGAAAAATGCTGCCTGTCTGCTGCCTGGAACAGCCTGTATACATATACAGCCTGCGTGTCAGCATGTTCTGATCTTGAGTTAAGTAGGAAAATGCTTTAGAACAGTTATTTGCTTATTTAAAACTGTAGGTGTTTCTCTCCCCCTTCCCTCCAGAGTCTGCGTTGTGGAACCACTGGGGTAGTGACTTTCATCCGAGGAAATATGTTACACGTGGCTTGGCTTGGGGACTCCCAGGTTATGCTGGTGAGAAGAGGCCAAGCAGTGGAGCTGATGAAACCCCACAAACCGGACAGAGAGGTGAGAACCGCCTGTTTTAACTACACCTGAGTACTATTTACCACTGAAGTTGGCTCGTGTCAGCTTTCTACAGGGCTCTTGGACACTGAGCACTGGCTTGTCCTTGTCTCTTGGAGTGGCCAAGCATGCTCTAATTATTCTGGTTGGGTCAGATCAGATCATCATGGATTAGATCAGGAATTTGTGTGCAAATGCCTTTTCTCATTTGATGGGGCTTGCAGGGCCCATGATGCTGTGCTGTGTAAACCCCAAATATTTAAGTGTTCAGAACATGGTGGCAGCACTGAGCGGTCTGTCCAACTCTTGTATTGCCTTGCTGTTCAGGATGAGAAGAAGCGCATCGAGGCACTTGGTGGCTGTGTGGTCTGGTTTGGAGCCTGGAGGGTGAACGGGAGCCTGTCAGTCTCCAGAGCTATTGGTAAGAACAAGCTTTAATTCTTTCCTCATGGTTGTTTTTCCTTTTAATTGAAACTTTGACTTTCTACTGATCAAAAATTGAAATACAGCTGACGATGGAATGGTGAAGCATGACCTCTATCTTTTTGCTCCATTTTGAGGGGCTGCTCCAAATAATGTCTTTGGCCTGGGGAAGTGGCTCTGTGTTTTGTTAATAAAAGGGCTCCCAGATGCTGCAACTGCAAAGCCAAAGTCTTGCGTATCTTTGTGTTCTGTCTTTCCCAGGGGATGCTGAGCACAAGCCATATATCTGTGGGGATGCAGACTCTGCCTCCACTGTGCTAGATGGCTCTGAAGACTACCTCATTTTAGCCTGCGATGGCTTCTATGACACAGTCAATCCTGATGAGGCGGTGAAAGTCGTGGCTGACCATTTAAAGGAGAATAATGGGGACAGCAGCATGGTAGCACATAAATTAGTGGCATCCGCTCGGGACGCTGGTTCCAGCGACAACATTACTGTCATTGTGGTATTTCTCAGGGACATGAATGCAGCAGTCAATGTTAGTGAGGAGTCGGACTGGACAGAGAATTCTTTTCAAGGTGGGCAAGAAGACAATGGGGAAGATAAGGAAAACCACGGAGACTGCAAACGGCCCTGGCCGCAACACCAGTGCTCAGCACCTGCAGATCTAGGGTATGAAGGACGAGTGGATTCTTTTACTGATAGAACTAGCCTAAGCATAGGGTCCAGTATTAACCCGATTGATGATCAAGCCTATTTAGACCTGACAAACACAGAAGCAAGTGAACCCAAGAGTGCCAAATATCTGCCACCAATTCAAGTGTTTAGTCCTGGCATACCAAAGAGTGTGAATCTGAGTAATGGCCTAACAGTGAAGAACAAGTCACCAGAGAGCACCACGTCATCAGTCTATGGACAAAGCGACCCCAGGGAGTACAACGCTCCTCTTAGTTTGGGTTCTGCAGGGCAAAACATCTACAAGGTGCAGGGTTTCTCCCCCATCTTCTGGGGGCTGGAAGATGAACAGTTCAAATCCTTGGGGAAACGAGCGTCTGCATTTCCTCACCTGCGCTTCTGTAATGGGAAGAGGCGACGAGGAGCCAGGTTCAAACCAAAGTTTCGCACGCCGCTCTTGGCTCATGAGCCTTCCCGTGTAGAAGCATCAAGTCTGTCCTTGCCTGTCCGAGGCCGCAGTAGCACGAGGTCGTTGGTAAGACACTTCCCGTGGTGGAGGCTGGCTGCTCATAACGTGTACAGGGAGAGCGAGTTTTTGATGCGAAGACAAAGTAATTGTATACCAGAGTCATACCTACATCAATGCTGTCAAATTTAACCATCTCCCTTGTGTCCCCCCTTAGATACCCAAACCAGACATTCCCAAAATAGAACTGGCATCATCAGAAAGTGAACAAAAGGTGGGCATTTCAGAACCGCGTGTATTACAATCCCCCGCAAAGCTCCAATCATGTGTAAATAGACCTTAGAATTAACAAATGTAGTTGTTTCAATAAAACTTGCTGGTGGTGCCACTTTAAGCAATGCCACAGCCACCCAACCACCTGCACACATAAGTATCTAGTCACATCCACTAGTGAAAGCCAACCAGTTGGTTCGCTTGAATAGACACCGGTAGGGAACGGTCTTTAAAAATGCAGAAAGCAGGACCTGCCTGAGTCTATGGAGCAATATTTAAAGAAAGATTCTGTTTTAGAACAGCCAATTTTTTTAGAGTGGGGGGAAGTTTCCACAGAAGTTCAGGTTGTGGGTGTTTTTTTATGTTTTTATTTTTGGTTTATTTCAGGCTAATATTAAGATAAATTTGAATATTATATCCACTTTGCAGGTAAAAGACTAAAAGCCATACAGGATTTTACCAGGTAACTTAGGAATGGACAAACTGAGCTCCTGTTACTCTGTTCTCAGACTCCGATTGAGGTACATACTCATAATTTACTTATTTTTTCATGTAACAAAATGTGGAATATGAAGAAAACTTTTTTTTGGTAGTTTCTAAAAAATATTATTTCCTATGGCTAGAGGTGCAGTGTACAGGGATTTCGTATCTCTCTGGTGCTTTTAGTGGCATTTTTCTTGTTTGTCAGTTAGAGAACCGTTTTCAATTAGCTTCAGTCTAACATGATTGTGCTCAGTGCTTCAAGCCAACCTCTTTTCCCCCCGTAACTTCATCTCAGGTCTTTAAAGAAACCAAGTGTGTGGAGATGTGCAGTCCAACACTGCTGTCGTGAAACCAGTCCAAGTGGAGAACTGCTTGCCAGGGACAGTGAACAATCTGGAGCTGTTGGGTTTTGGTACAGATTTCCAGGTGGCAAAGGAGTAATTTAGTAAAGTTGTAGTGTCAAGGAGGGGAAGATACTGCTTCTGTAGGAGCGTTCCTGTTGCATTTTGCCTTTTTCCAGAATGTCTAAAAGCAGATGCAAGGCTGCTAGAGCAATCCCGAGTGAATGGCGGCTGCAGAGGAGCAGGGGCCGCGCGCTGGGTGCAGCGGGCTTAGTAAAACTTGCCAGCGAGCCAGAGCTCTGCTTTAGTTACCCCGGGCTCCATAGGCAGGAGCGGGGAACGAGGGTGCCGAGCAGAGCACGGCCGAGGAGAGCAGCCGGGCGCCCGCTGGGCCCTCGCTGCCCCGCGCTGCAGCTGGGGCAGCCTCCTGAAGAGCAGCACGCGGGGACCTAATCGCTCTGCTACTCCCATCAGACGGACCAGGCAGCTCCTCTGAGACACATCCCCCTACTGTGAGCTGTTACAATAAGGCATTTGGAAGAGTATGAATAAAATAGTTCTTTGCAGGCATTTATTGTATCATTCATATCATTTTAGTAGTAACAGTTTAATATCAGTATTAGTATGCAGCTAGAATCTGCGAAGTATTTTAATATTAAGTAGTCAGGAGATAATATAATGAGTGATGGCAAGGTTTGAATTCTGCCAATTTTTGCTTCTTCTAATCTTTGATGCACTACTTTAAAAGCAATTTGATGAATAGCAAAAGGCTTTGTGAGTAACCAGGAGTTGAAGTGTGGCTTTAGATTCCTTTGATCTTTTTGAGACTTTTTTTCTCAAATCTTTTGGGATTTTTTGGGATCATTGGCTATAACCTGTCCTCTTATCAAGCCTTAGCTGTTGTCAACATTCTCTTTAGATGCAGCATGTGTTCTGAGTCAGAGTTACTAAAGAAATTTGAGAAATCATGAAAGACTAAAATATGCAACTCTGGGGCATCTCTGCGGTGCCTTTCTTTTAAATTATTCACAGTAATAACGATGCATTGAAAGTCCATCTTCTAGTTGACAGTCGTGCTTCTGAAAGAAAGGTCGTGTAAGTGCAATTCTTTGTGTGAGCGATTAAGGATGAAAAATGTTATGGATGATAAACTTCTTCCCAGTCTGCAGGAATAGCTGAAGAGCACTGGACCGCATGTGTGCCGTTTAGGGAAGGATATAGCCTTTTAGGTGTGGATTCATAAATGATAATTCTGGTACTCATAACATTATCTTGCTAGGAGAAAAAAAATACCATCGTAGTTCCAGTGTGGTCAGGTAAAATACTGTATAGATAGCAAGTGTTCATTTCTTCACTAAAATGCATATTTATAGAGTAGATAGGAACCATTTGTAAGGTAAGTCCTTTAAAGTTCTATACTATTAAAAATAGTGGTTATTGGTCTGATATATGCTGCTCTTGATTCTACACACTAGACACAAAAAGCAGTGCTTTGTGAAATGCAGTGTTTTCTCTTAATGCCACTGGTGATAGGAAGTAGTTCTCTTCAGTTCGAGATCCTGTGCCCTTATTTGCTGCTTGCTAACGTAAGCAATAATACCCCTCTAATGGTATCTAAGTGTTCTGTATCTTGTACTTTTATTGTCTATCTGGTGACAGTGTAAAAATATTAGGCTAATATAAAAGTATCTAATTGTATTTATTAATTGTTGATACTGAGATTCAGTCTGTGATCTGTGTTTTGTATTTTTATTGTGTATCTTAGTGGTGGTGAAATTTGTACAACAAATCTTTCCAATAAAGAAAGAGCTGAAGTATCCCTTTTTCAAGTTAACACAACCTGCATCAGTTTCAGTTTACGTGTTGAACGTGTTTGCAGAACTAGGAGGTAGGTAGTAAAAACTCTTTTTTGTGTGTGTTGGTTTTGAGAGACAGACTTCAGGCTGCTCCTCTGAAGCTGCTCAAACCCGCTCGTAAGCTATTCACTGTGAGTAGTAGAGGGATTCATTCAATCCCCACTCTGATCGTTTCCTGTGTACACTTCTTAAATGTGCAACTCTGAGGAATGTCTGCGTCGCAGAGAGCAGTATAGCACCAGACCAGGGAGCTGTTAACCCATTTCAATTTGCACTAAAGGTGGGTGGAAACGCATGTATATAACTTTTCTTTACCTACAAGTGCCATCAATTGTCCTTGCAAGTTAAAACCATTCAGTATTTCAGTTAGGTTGCATTGTAACGCTGAAGGACAATGTCTAAGCAGACTTTAACTTATGCCACATTTATAGTGGTGCATTGTCATAGAAACTCCGCTCTGTTTGTGAAACACTGTGTGTCAGCGAGAAACACGTCGTCCTACAGGCAGAGGATGAGGCAGGAGGATTTCCGTGTCTATAGTCAGGACTGCTGTAGTTCAGGTCCACTCTCTTTCACCAAGTCCACCCTACCCTGGCAATGTTCTGCTAGAAAAAAGGGAGAAAGATTGATCTAAATTAGTGGCTGTTTTAGCACAATTTATTCACTCAGCACTAGTCACATAGACAAAGCCATTGAAGGGGGATACTGCAGCTTTGTTCATGCCTGTGATTTAGGGCAATCTTTAATTCATATCCTCCTTGCACCAGGAACAAAACGTTCAACCCTTGTATCATGTGCAATAAGTAATAATGAAGCATAACACAACCTCTGACTTAAATGTTCCTATCCTTTTCCAGTCACTGTTAAGCAGATGATCGCACTATACTCGCCAGCATTAAAACTAAACAAAAAACCTCCCACCTCTGAGGGTTTAGTACAACTCTTGTATATGATAATTGCAATGTTTGGCTGTTTTTGTTTTCTCTCCTGTATTCTAGAAGCTATTTTGAAACAAGAATAGTGAAAGTTGGCTAAGATGATCCTGAGTACTTGTGAGTACTTATGTAGATAGCCAGGTGTGTTGGCAGTTGCTACACTGGGTGCTCCTGTTAAAATATCTGTATTATCCTGTTCATGAGAATAACATTCTTTATTAAGTGAATAAATTAAAGCTAATCATGTAACAGTGTTGGGACTTTTCCATTTGCAACCTTGTTCTACAGTTCACATATGACTTTAGTTATAATTGTGTATTAGTCATCCATATTTTATTTATGAAAGCTGTTTATACAGAAAAACGGTTGAAGTTTTACCAATATCTTAATAAAACAGTAATTTAAAAAATATTTCAGATATTTTGTTTATTTATAAGCTAAAAGCGATAGCAACCAACATCTGTATTAAGTGTCTTTCTGTGGTGAAAGCAGATTTACTTGGCTTAATGCATAACAGAAAAGGTGACTTGGGCACGGAGGTGGATGAGATCTCTGTACTCACTGCTGCTTCCTTCATCAGCAGAGCTGGGGAATGAGGGGCAAAGTGGAACCCTTGTGGGAGCTGTTTAACAGGCAGAAGAGGGCTAGGGCTTTGTCACTATTACATTAACTGGTCCTAAATTAGGCTTCCAAGCCTGTTTACCTGTGCTGTGTTTAAAAACCTGCTGTGCACAAGTTGTTCAGAGGGAAGCAAAGCATGACAGAACCCACTCTGCTCATCCCCACAAAGGTTGCCCACTCACCTCAGAGCAGGTACTGTGACTAATTAATTTCCTTGCACTTAGGCCTCCTATTAAGAGTAAAGCAGCTGCAAGTAGTGAAGAGACAGGTCTCTGATTACTGCTAATTGAGCTGTGTCTAATGCTCAACACACAGTCCTGTGAAACAGTAAACACTCACCCTTCCCTATCAGGGATGTGCAGCTTGCCCTAACCCATCTTCACTCCTCAGTTGGAACACGTGTGCAAGTGCCTTTACACTTGCATCTCCTTCCTTCAGGCAAGGACTCCAGAAAGCTTTGTTACATAAAGAACCACTTTAGCGATAGAAGCTGGGGCTCCACCTCCATTCCTACTTGAATATGCACTGGGCAAGGATTTTGGTCTAGCTGCTACTAAAATGCCTTTAAAAGCATCACATGGATTTAAGCCATTTTCACTGAACAGAGGCAATTATTCTGGCAAGAGAAAATTCTTCTATAAGCAGTGAGGAATTGCAGCACTTTAGTACTAAAGACTAAATAAGTCAAGCAGAGTGGTGGCATATTACTTATCCCAACAGGAATTCTCCTGTATTTTACTTATTTACAAATGAATGTCAAATTTCACATCAGTTTTCACCATTCATTTTATTAACAAAGTGCAAACAGTTTTAAACTATGAGTTGTACAGCACTTACACTGTGGAACATTCATAAAAAAAAAAGAAAAACAACAAACTTAAGTACAGGCAGCAGAGACAAGGACAACTATCAGTTACAGTTATTCATGCTTTTTCAGTAACCAGCTATTCAGCTTTCATCATAGCTTCAACGAGTAGTTTAGCAGCTCAAGATGCAACGCACAGTGGCAAAAGGTTTGGCAATGTGTTCAGTTGGTCCACGTTACAGACTGGGGGAAACAACTTTCACACCAGCGAGCGCTGGGGTCCAGCAGCCTGATGCGCTCAGCTCGGAGCACTACAGCAAGGACATTCACACCTTCCGTTATTCCCAAGACAGAGCAGGACAGACACCGCGGGAGAGGGCGGCAGCACCTTTTGGACATGTTTCAGAGCACGTGCGCCGGGGCAGAGCCAGCGGGAATGCAGCCTTCAGGACGAGGCTCTCAACGGTCACTTTGCCCCAGGGACAGGTTACAGATGACAGCAGCAGTACTACACAATGGTCCTTGACAGCATGGAGTGCGTGCACAACCAACAGCAGCAGCCTTGGACTAAGCTCCAGTGAACAACGTGCCTCTTCCCAGGAGCACAAGCTGGCCCGTCTTCAGGCACCAAACCACTTCTCTATCTGCTCCAAAGAAAGGCAGCTTTCATTGAAAACCCTCATGTTAGGACACTTTCACAGCTTCAATTAGATAAAACCCTCACTTTAGAAGGTTTAGGCCAACCACTTCAAGTGTTTTCTATTAGTGACTACCTGAACATGCAAACCTCAACCAGGCACTCTTCCACATGGTGTAATTCCTAGAAGTGCCTTACCGTTCCAGAAAGCTTAGTGATCTGAAAACACACTAGCCCCAAAGATGTAGGCCAGGCGCTCACCTATCTGCTACGAATCTCCTGGTGGCAGATTGCCCCAAGTCAGACTTGCACAAATCCCCCTGCCTCCTCCCAGGAAGGTAAATGGCTCCTCTCCTCTCTTCCGCTTGAGGAGCAGGAAGGGAATTTGCATCTCTACAGTCACAGCCGCCTCAGACCCTAGCTAAGAGAGACATTTAGAGTTACCTGGTGCTGTCTTCTCCAGTAACGAAGCTGAGATCATCAGAGCCTACCGGATCACCCTCCGGGAATACCGAGCACCGCTCTAAGGCTGAAAACAAACAAACAAACTGCAATAACCTCTACCAGCCAACATCCAAACCAGAGCAAGTTAAAGGTCCATCATGTGCAAGCCCCACTTGTAGATCTACATTGTTAAGAATGAAGTACAACTGCTCTAAGGTTTTTAATTTAAGATACTTAGTCAAGCAGATGTTTTGATTTTTCTGCAAGTTATGAAGTTTTTGCTTAGTGTCTGCTGCAAGCACCGAACAGTGAGCTGAGTTGTTAGGCCATCACACTAATGCAGCCAGGGACACTTATTCAGGCCAAAAGTTAACTTCATCCAGCATCAGCTGTCACCTTCAGGCTTTTAACTTATCAAAAGGTTAAACCCTTTCAAAGGGAACATCAAAGGAGTTTTTAAAATTAAACTGAACTGCTCAAAGCACATTCCTGTCAATTAAGATGCAACCAAGGTGGTGACTACCTCCCTGACACTAGCCTACTTGCAGCGTAGATTTGGCTATGCAGGGAGCTCCAGTTCAGAACAAGAGCTATGGGTTTTCCACCTGTCCTAAACTGACCTCTCAAGGCTAGAAAGAGTTCCCTCTCGTGTTGTGATCTACTTTCAATTAGAAACCCAAGGGAAGAGCTCCAAATCTCACTGGCTCTTGGTTGAGTTTAATACCTACAGGGAATCTCTAGCAATCTTGGTCTCAGCAATATTCTGTATTCATGGGAGCAACGAGGCAAGCGTGAAGGGTGTGGGGAGAGGTGCTCACACGCTCACTACCTTCACTCGAGGACTGCACAGAGAAGGCATGGTTAAGTCCCTCCGAGGTGGAGTTGGCATCCTCCTGCTCTTCATTTTCTGTGTCACATTCAATGTCACTATCGCTGCTCATCCCTGGCAGGAGATGAAGGACATGCTTCTGACATACCCCAGCTGCAGGAGAAATAAAACAAAACAAACCCACAAGGCAAAAACTTTAGCAGCAAGATCTGTGTAGCTCAAGCTCTCAGCTTTTTCCACACTTAAGAGTTACCAAATACTGAAGCTGGTAGGACAGCAAGAGAGAAGGAGCACATTTAGAGCTGAATATATTTATCAGAGCACGAAGGATTTCAGCAGAACACTCAGTCTAGATTTGCTTCACAGCTCAGCTCGAGAGGAGCAGTTCCAACTGCACCGGACTTGGGATCTGCAGTTTCCTGCTGCCTGAGCTGCACTTCTCAGCCAGCCACGCAGCCCCTCTCTACAAGTAGGGCAGGATGTGAAGCTAAAGGAGAGCTCTCTCTACAGAGGATGTGACCCTTTAAGCAGATGTACTCACCAGGTCCTTCAAGCTGCAATACTCTTAAGTCTCACACTTAAACAGAACATGCCTTTCCTACAAAAAGCAACTCTAGCTGTAGTGCATCAAGGCAACTCCTTTTCCTTTTTTTCTTTGTCGTTACTCAAGTATGCAACAGCACCAGACAAAATTCACCCACTTGTACAGTTTGGTGGGTGACTGAAAGGATTTGCCCTGTTTTTTTTTTTACTGCCTAAGAGCCGACAGTCATTGCTGAAACAACGCAAGTGGCTGAGGGAGATACCAATTCTCCTACAGTTTTTCTTCTCTGGAGGGAAAAGAACTGTAATATTTGTTTCCTGGGGTTTTTAAACAATGAAGCATTTCAGTTTTTAAAACATTTTCCTGTTAGACTCTCTGCCATAAGAGGAGAACTGCAGGAGCACATCACGATCACGCTGCAGTGACTAAGAGCAGAAATTCAGTCTTGTCACTGAGAGACCTTCTGTAAATGCCAACTCCTACACAATATTGCACACTGCAGATAGAGATGGATGCTGGCACCTTAATATAGGCTTTGCGCTACAATTCAGTCATTGAAATTCAAATTAGTGCAGGGGTGGGAGGCAGGAGAGTTTTAGCAAGATAAGAAAAAACTCTTCTACGTGGACTTTCAAAAAGAAAGCCAATAATATTTTTTTCTAGCCTATAAGGGATACAGGAAGGGATGGGGGGAAGTTTCCTCCAAGTCTAACTGGCTTACGTACTGCAAAGCCAGACACAAATGAGACAGGAGAGATTCTAGTGGAGGAGTGGAGGTTGTTACCTCAGTGGTTTGTGTTTGTAGGCAGGAAGTTTAAGAAGAGCCAAGGTCACCAATTACTACTTCATTTAGTAAAGAAATTATTTCCAATGACAGGCAACTGATCAGCAAAGATGTGGAGTCCCATCATAAACAGAAAGAGCCCCTGGCAGTCCAAAGAGACACAGCCTCCTACCATACTCTCCGCTAGGTCTTCAACTCCCTTCTGCCCCATAACCTCATTGGTTCTCCACAGACACCAGTGGGACAGAGAGATTCTCTCCTCACTATACGACAGCTGCCAAGTGTTACAGCAGAGTTCAACAGCCAGGGAAATATTTTTTCCCCTTCCCCACCAGGCTTTTTCCATTACAGAAGGGGACGATCCCGGGCTGCAGAGCTGTAGCACTGCTGAACACAACAAGGCTGAGTTACCTTCGCCGGCCGCAGCCAAAGCCCCGTCAGGGAGCGCGTCCTGCCCTTCGCCGGTGTCGGTCTCCAGGTCGGCTGCCTGCGTTCCTTCCGAACGACACCCCTTGGCATTGGATCTTCACAAAGAATTGAGACACACACAGAAAAGCTTGTTGCAGATGTAGCTTTACCCCAGCTAGGGGGAACAACTCCTTTTAGGGGCACATCTAGTTTTGAGACTCATTTTAAGTCTCTTGCATGTTCACTTAAACATCCAGCTCTGATTAAAAAAAACATAAAAAATAAGACTGGAAAAGTTTATGATGAGTATTTTCCAAAGATGGTGAGAACTGCTATTCACAGCAAAAAAACAAACCCAAAAATCCAAGTACTCCATTGCTCTTTAGCTGCCTGTTGATTAAATAAACTATTCAAAGGTATTATTAAATTAGCGAAAAAGAGTCACAGTGGAAAAAAAAATCTTTCAAGGAGGAATTAACAGTCATAACCTTTTTATAAAAGAATATTTTGTAAGGAATACCAGCAAAACAGGCAAAGGCTGCCTTTCAGTTCAAAGTAGTAAACCATACCCACTGCCAATCAAAAAGAAAGGGCCTAGCACATAAAGGACTTGTAATCTAGTTATAAAGCCAAAAACTGATATCCAGAGGGAACAGCAACCAAGTAAACTTTGAAGTAATTTCTCTTCCTTGCTGCAAGCACCTGGCTTTAGTAGCTTGGTTATGTTCTTTCAAGATCAAGGAAACTGGGGGAGGAGAAAACAAGGAGGAGGAAGTGAAAGGTAAATAAACAAAAGAAAAACCCCAAGCACTTACCCTAGAGCTCCGACTTTCCTGGTCTTCTCTGCAGCAGCCAACCCATTTAAGCCAGAAACTCCCACATCGGAATCGGAGCCTTCACAGGGTCTTTCCTCCAGCTTGGGCAGCGCGTCGGAGGTGCAGCCGCTGCTCAGGGCCCTGGCAGAGCCGTGCCTGCTGCTGGCCTTGGAGCCTCCTGCACCGCCGGGAAGACAGGAGGAGCAGCTCAGAGCACGTGCAGGTTTGTTTTATACACTGAACATCCAGTTGGTTCATATCGCCAGTTAAACTTCACAAAAAGCACTTAAATTTAGAGCGGCAAAACACCAATTCCTCTATTATAGGGAGCTTCCTTGAGTGGCAATGAAATTAAATACCTAAAATTCAGGAGCACATCATCATTTAATCCTTTCATCACATATATCATTTTCTGGAGTTCCCTTTAAGTCAAAGCACAGCTTAAGCTTGGGTCAGCACCCTGTGTCTGTCCCTTTTACCACAAATGGGGTTCCTGAAACACTTCTGTGTTTCACTGTAAGTTCAATGTGTGCCACTACAGCAAATTAACTACCAGAGATCTCCATCAGGACAATAATGCCAACTACCCTGGAGAAAGGACCCAGGCAAGTTTCAGGAAACCTCAGTCTGTTGCCAGGAGCTTCCCAAAAAGCTTTGCAGAGATGAGACAACGCATCACATCACACCACGTGCAGAGGGGGCCGTGTTTACCTTCAGAAGCTTGAGCCTCTCCCTTGGAGCGGAGATGACCATCCGCGCAGTCCATCGCTCTTCGCAGAGACAGGCTACCCGCTCCCGGCCGAAGAGGCTTGGGGGAGTTACTTTTCTTACTTGCAGCTGCAAAAATATTGGAAGATGGGACAAGTGTTCAAACTGCTGCACCACTTTGTCTTGCTGCTTGTTTTAAGCGAAGTTAAGCTATATGAGCTACTATTTCCTCCTTTGGACAACAAATAAGTCCCATTCCTCCCACCTCAGAGTCCTGCACAAAACTCCTTCCACACCCTTCCTATCACAGATGCAGTCAGGGTTCCTGTCAGCCTATACAAGTAACATACAGGTCATACAGCAAGAGATGCTTCAGCCTCAGCCACAGTTACACAAGCATTTCAGATGCCAGGTAGAAGACTTTTGGATAACCATCCACTGGAGCCAGGACTACACCTCTTCAGACTCCAGCATGAAAGTGTAAAGGCGAAGGATACCATCCCTCAGCTCCTAAATTCCCTCAGCTCCTAAAGTCAAAGTAATGTAACAGAGGACTTCAAAAAGCAAAGGTGGAGGGCACACAGGGCCCGCACTGTTCGCAGCTTCCCAAATTAACTATTGACAGAACAGCACAATCCTGTTACAGCAACTCCTCCAGAAAGAGGGATGCAGGAGCAGCAACTGGAACAGCAGAACAGTGAAGTTCTGCTGTCACCCCACCCATAAAGGTGGCAGATCTAGGCTGCAGTGAGAGTTTTGTAGAACAGCCCTGTATGTTCCTCTAGTTCTGGTGCAGACTCAGGAGGCTGCCCAGCACCTTCATAACCTTGGCAGGATGAGGGATTTAGCACAACACAAAAACTAGCACTTCCAATGAAGTGACACCACTCTTCCTGGTTTACTGATGGCACCGTTCAAGGCTCCCACCTTAGAACATGCAACTATTTTTCCTCTAAATACACACCAGCAGAGCAGAAACTCTCTGTTTTATGAGTGTGATGAAAAACAAAGTAGGCCTTTGCTGAAGTTGCAAAAGCCTTGTTTTAGAGAACCTTGGCTCCTTTGAATTTTAACAAGACTAAGTTACTAAAATACAGTAAGTCTTCAGTTCTTTAACTTTCTTCACCAGCAAGCATCGTTAACCTTTGCTGTAGAGCAAAAGTTGTGGTGCTTTTGCTGCAAAAGGCTGAAATGAGTTTCAAAAAAAGACATTTACATATTCAAAGGTTTTATACTTCTGGATTGTTACAGTTGATTTTGAAAATGAGCAAGAAGTCTATTTCCAGATGCCTGGATATATAATCCATTTATACAACTGACATCTGTAAGAGTGACATTTAAATCCCCCCTTCTCTACACACTTACGATTCCTTATGTAACAACTTGTAACTGAAGACTTTGTCAGTAGTTCCATTCCTATTTCTTGTAGCTTGCTGCAGCTTTCTGCTCCACACGCAGCTAAGGCGCCCTGCTCAACAGAGAAGAAGCTGGGTTGTCCATCACATGTGCCAGCATTGCTGCTTCTTACTTCTGACAGTTGGTTTTTTACATCAGACATTTTGCTTCGGACTTCAGCCATCTGAGTTTTCAGTCTCTTCAGCATCTTCAAGTCGGGGGGCACACGCCACATTGCCTGGTGTCTCCGCTGATCTCGGTCTTTCAGAGAGTAGGATGTTGCTTTACCAGAGGAAGAGTTAAACAACACAGACAGTAAGTAAAATTCATCTTGAAACTGCACATCTGTTTAACAGCTGTAAGAAAATCCTATCTTTTGCCCTGTTATAAGAATGGGACATAGTGACATATGCCCCTGTTCTATTATGGCACCACAGTATTTAGATTGCAAACACTGTAGAGCCACTGAAAGAGCAGATTTCCATTCTTTGCCTGCCATGGGAGAAGGCTCCAAAACTTGCTCTTCAGAAGAAGCAAGATTTCTAATAGCATTACACCCATTCCAGCAACTGCTAAACAGGTTAGGTTCACAAGCCTGGCCGTAGTGATACACACACTTTGTCCTTTGAAAAAAACGAAACAAATGAGACATCAAACACTGTTTTTAAGCATTTACCTCTGCTCTGCAGAAGAGAAGCGGGTGGACGTGGCTGAAGGCCCCAAAAGTTTTCCATACCATTTCTGTCTTTCAAATCCAACAAGTGGATTAAAATTAAGGGATCGATATCTAATAAGCTGCTACTGGCTGCTGAGCCTAGGGTACTCCCTCCCCGCCTGGAAGATCTTCCACTTGCGCTGGCGTAGCCATGGCTAGTACCTAAGGAAGAGTTATGGAGAAAGAGCGTGCATGTACATAACACAGGTGATGCATTAAGCTCCAGTACCCTGTAAAAAGAAAAAAAGCCAAGTTCTTCACCTAGACTAGGAATGAAAACATTCCTAGACAACTAACAAAATACCAGTATTATTTCATGGATTGATGGATTCTGAAAGGACCCTAAAAGGAATCCGATACACTAACTTAACACTTAAGCTAAAAAGCATCACAGAACAAAAGCAAAGGATATTTCACTTGATTTTTATGTAAATCACTTTGTAGTAAGAGCATTTATCTGAACAGATGTACATAAGCATTTTGACTTTACTTTTGCTAGATTGAGAGGTCTTCAGTTAAGTTCTGCTCTGTACTACAGTGTTCCTGTTACACAGTGGCAAAGACACTTCAAGAGAATCTTCAGAGAAAACAGATCTGAGAGATTCAGTCAGAGAGCTTAGCAGCACTCCCTTCCAACACACACCAGTGACACTGCTAGCACTGCAGCAAGAACACACTGCAAGCAGGTAAGCGTAAGGAGCTTCCCTTAAGTGACTAAGAATCCTGGGTTAGCTTTTAAAATACAGTTAAAAATTACTCTTTAAAATCATCTAAATAGACAGTGTGTTTGTAGCTACCATGCAACTTCTTTAAACGACATGCATCTACCTAGAAGGCAACAAACATTCCTCAGCTTCTTAACTCACAAGGAATTTTCAAGGAGATTTAAGCTGTGAAATGTCAACAAAAAGCAAGTAAGGCAGTTAAGGGACTTTCAAGTGCTAGCAGACTTCCACAGTAGCATAAATAACCACAAATGAGATGAGAACTGTTATCTTTGGCATAAATAAAAATGAATAACAATAACAAATTATTTTTGGAATCTGGAGGACTAGATTAACCTCTGGCTCAAAATTTGGGCTCATCTGAAGACTACAAGACATCTTAGAGCAGCTTTTCATTACTGTTTTAAAATCTGTTCCCACTTGGCTTTTAATGATTCTACAGCTCATTCCCTCCACACACTTCTGGGCTTAGGGTGCACTAAAATCTAAGTGAATATGTCACATGCTCCGAGGCCACGCAGACATTAGTAAGGACTGCGCGTCAGTCTAGTTTTGATTGCAATGGAAGGATTTTCAAAGAAGCAGAGAAGCTTCCCTTCTAACTTATGTACTATTTTTAAATAAGCATGTCCAGAAGATCCAGCCCCCCGCTTTTCTTGTAGAATCAATGAGATGTTTCCACCACGCTGCAATTACCAGGACGCACTACATGATGCGGCATTTCCAAAAATAGAAATGCCTGCAGAACACGCAGCCTGGTGATGCTTCCAGGAACGGGAGGGAAGCCAGCAGCCTTTCGCATACATGGCATTTCTGAACACTGCTTTTTCATACCTGATGCTCCAGGAGCAGCAGCAGCCGCAGAAGCGGCATCCTCCATGAGATCTCCTTCTTCCAACTCCATGTTATTGCTGTATTCAACATCATTTTCACCAGACCTTAGGACATGGTTGGGGTGAAAAAGGGGGAATACAGTTATTAGCTCCTGTCAGCTCCTGTTTAACATTATGGCATTTATCCTGAGAAAACATGAAGCACTGCAGATAGTATTTTCTGCATTCTAAACCTACACAAATTAAACAAACTAAAGGATATTAATTAAATGATTGACTCAGTAATCGACAGCCAAAGTGCCATGATTTCTAGACTATAAAATCTGATCCTGTGTTGTATGTGCTATTTTAATATTTCACGGAAGGTCTGAGGATTTGACATCATCATCTTAGTTACAAAGATAAAAATCTCTAGGTTCAGTTACTTAATTGGCATTGCTATTACCCTCCTACTACTACACCACTTTCTAGTACCAACGCTCTGTTTTATTAAGATGTCAACTAGCGTAGAAACAGACTTCTTAATAGTGTTTGGGGAAAGAACCTTCACACAGTATCACTCGTCAATGACAGTACAATACTAAATAAATCAAAAGATACGAACTAGCTGTCTTAAAATTCAACTCTTAACAACATGTAGCGATATGTTTAACGCTACCAGTACAGGAGACATCCCTCACATCGCCCTGAAATCCCCCCCAACATTACTGTGATACAGGGGATGAGTCAGTTTCCACCAGAGCACCGTGATTTTTCCCTGGGAGACAAGGTAATGATCTGGAAAGTATTTTTTGAAGTCACTCACATAGTTTCTTCATCAATATCATTCTCTTCAGTGTTACTAGTTGCTGTTGAGCTGGCTGAAGAGCTGCTACCATCAAGGTGGTTTACTTCATCATCTCCAGTGAGATCTACATCCAGGTCACCATCAGAGAGTTCATGCTATGACAACAACAGAATGGGTTTTTATAAAAAGCAGCATTTTGGTTGCACTTTAATGAATTTACCAAAAGCTCTAAACAGAAGCCCTCTCCTCTCAAAGGTGTCAAAATATCATGGAGAACTTTTTGAGGGCCCAAAAGCACAATAAAGGCTGGCAACAAATGAAGAACTGTATTTTTCGACTGCAGCAGGGAAAGCTTTTCCTTGTAGATCAAGTAGCTCTGTTCTAGAACATCTCTGCCTAAGTCACCTCTTACTGCTACTTCTCACGTGTTATCTCCCATTTACATGCAGACAATAAGATGTCTAACTCACAATTCAAATGTTGAATTTCCACCGCAATCCTACTGTAAAAAGTTACATAGGAACAAAGAGGCATAAAAAGATGATTCCTACATTGAAGTCTTCATTCTGGATTTTCTCCTCATCATCTTCCTTGCTCTCTCGCACCCCTGGAGCGGCAACGTTCTCAAGCAGCACTTCAGCACTTTGTCCAGGCTTCTTCGATCTAGTTTCTGAACTATCATCATTCTGGGGACTAAGATGAGTGTCTGGAGGTGAAATGCCTCGTGATTTCTGGGTCCGGGAAAGTTCAATTGCAAGCCTCTTAAATATCAGAAGAGCACAAGAGAATATATAAGAGACAACATTGGAGCCACAGCATCACATAAAATAATTTTATTTGCATATATACTATTTTATTAATGTCAATACTAAACTAACAATGGCTACCAAGTAAACACAACTATTAAATTGAGCTTTGTAACCTGAGACTAGTCAGTAAAAGGTGAAATTGAAAATTAATTCAATATACATCCCACTTACCTCTTTAAGGTTATTTATTTGTTGGATATAACTTGTCTGAGCTGCTTCCAACTGAGCAATGTACCAGTGTTGATCTCGACACTTTTGGAAGAAGGTCGGTGAGCGCACTTGGAACCTTCAAAGCAAAAGTGGAGAAGTTTCAAGTTTTGCTCTGCAGAATTTGAAATCTAGTGATAAAATAAAATTAGACAATGAGTATCTCTACATGCTAAGAATGCACTGAATGGCAATAGCAAGTATTTTGTAGGAAAGGCAATTACAGAAGCAATCTTCACAAACGGACACTAACAAAATTGACAGGCTACAAAGTTCTGAACAGAAACAGAAGAACTGTGCAGAGAACATTTAAAATAGCTGATTAAAGTACATTTTGTCATAACACTGCAGTTTCCATGGACAGCATCAGCTCTGTTACATTACAGATTTCCTTCTTTCACTCCCAAATCTCTCTCTTACTCACTGGAACTGTTTCCAAAGAGGGGAAGAAAATGCATTTTTCCTTTAATTCAGTTAGCTACAGATATCCAACCCAGGCTTATTGGCATCAAGCACAGCTTCATCTCCAAGAAACACACAGAGTTAAACTTCCCTCAACTCCTTTCGGCACATTTTCTCCTTCGAAGTTTAGACAGTGAAATCCATTTATGACAAAACATGTCATGCTTATGTTACATTCAACTACTTGATTACTTCCTATTTTAGGAACGTATGATATTTTCCATGAAGCAATAGCAGAAGAAGTCCCATTAAGTTGTCATCTTTACCTTAGAATCACAGTGTCATTCTGCCTGTTTAAATAGCCTTCGTTGGCTAGCAAGTCTAGACGAAAGAACCTGTTGTAGCCCCAGCATTCTCCAACTTCAAAATCAGAGGCAAACTCTCGAATTATGTTTTTAGCTGGATCATTGGTGGACTGATGAACCATTTCTACACGGTACTCATACCTAAGCAAAGGAAGATCGGGGATCAATACCAAAAACAAGTGAGATAACTTGATAGATTCAGCACTTGGTGATAAGAGAACTATGCTTACGGGGAGGCTAGTGTTTGTAGCTGAAGGCATGATGTAAAGTTTTACTGAACTCTTAAGCAAGCAGCTTCAGAGGAAAGATGTAGAGAGAGCAGTCTGATAAACCAAGACTAGAACGCACACAGAGTTGGATATTCTCATTTGTTTTATGACCAGCTTGCTGTTTACCTTAGGCAAGCCACTGAACATCAGACTCAGAGAATGGTTGAGGTTGGAAGGGACCTCTAGAGATCATCATGACTCAAGTTCTGTGGACAACAGGAATGACTCTGTTCCTTTCAATAAGCTCTACATAAGTCCCTGGCAATCTTACACAGCTACTCAGGCCATTCTTTGAAAAGCTCTCCAGATGCTTTGACGATTGGTTTTCTTACTTGGATGTCTCTGGCAATCCAGCAGACAGCTCCAAGAACACAGACAGGTAGTAGCCCCGTACCACTCCATTTCCATCCTCAAACAAACAAAAACACATTAAAAAAGCTGAACACAAACAAACCCCATTTCCACATACCCTTGAAATTTCAGAAAATAGTTTTGATCAATTCAGAATTTCCAGACAATTTTGATTTTGTTTTCTGTGACCTAGAATTCCTATTGTAACTTGAATTAAGACAGAGTTCACATCTGGATGACGATGTACACCCTATTATTTGCATCTCAGATACAAATCACTATCTCAGAACACACCTTAAGTTACTCTAACATTTAAGCAGTTAAATACAAAATTGAATAGACAAACATTTTTCAATGTGTTAGAACAGTTTTCCCCCTCTCTCCCCATCCTCCTTAAAAACAGACTTCAGTTCTGTAAGAAGCATATTGAAGTACCCAAACAAACAGGTAGAATTATTAAGGCTGCTATGATATATAAGACACATTTGTAATTGCTTTTAAAATAGCCAAATTAACTGTACTAAGAACGCTCATGCTGAAAGGAAGCATGGAGGGAATGCTCCAATGCTCACTGATTGACACTGCCAACCTCGTTAGGCCTTTTTTTCCCCACATAGTTTTTTGTATACAACATCTGTTTTCTCATGAGAAGAATCTAGCTGACGTTTCTTCGCAGGACAAGCATGCTGCTTAAGCATGTTGGATGGGATAACATTTCTAGCTGAAGGCATTCACTCACCGGATAAACTTTTAATCTCCAGCAGAGTCCTGACACTTGGAGAGGTGGACTGTAAACAGGATCTGCTCGCTGACGCAATGTACTATTGAGGAGGAAAAAAAAGGAAAAAAAATGCCACTGAGAAAAAGCAGTGTCCTCCATGAAAGAGCAAGTTTTATATGCACTTACACTCTGGAATTGTCCTTGCTACACAAAGAGCAACTAACAGCATGTGAGGCCCATGCATATTTATATAGAAGCTTAACATTTTTATATTCCCTGGAAAATTGTTCGATCTTTCAGAAGTTGCTCAGTGTTATCAGGAAATCTTTTAAAACTGGGCTTAATTGTTGTTCACCTGGTACATGGGAGATTTGGATTGAATTCGTATCAGTTAGTTTGTATCCAAGGGAGACCATTCAGTGTTTTAAACACTATTAAACATGGGCACAAGAAACAGAAAGAGCTTACTGATATTCACCGTAATTTCTTAAGATACATTCTTACCTAAAGTTTTCCAAGACAAAGGTAGTTGAGTCATAGGCTGGAACTAATTCACTAAGAGTGAAAAAAATGCATGCATTAGTTTTATAACATCCCATTAAAATCCCAAGTTTTGACTGTTTTGAACCATTTAAGATGACTGGGATCACTAGATCCAATGAAGTGCACTAAGACTACACTTGTCTTTTTTTGTTGCTTTGAAATTTCCACTCATGAAACTTCTCCCCAGCCCCTCTGCATGCGATGCCACATATCAAAGCAAATGTTTTATGTTATAGTCAAAAAGAAAGAGCATACAAAACTATTTAAAAATAGTAAAGAGGATTTGCTCTTTTATTTGTGATGGTTAATAATATAACAGCAATTTTTATTGCAAATCTCATAGTTCTAGAAAGAATTAAATTGTTGCACGGCTGAAAGAACAAAGCTTAACTGGTCCACGCTTCACAGCTTATTGCCACTGGAAAATGCATATTCAGCTTTAGGCTCTCCTCAGAGAGACTTCTATGTATTCTTTTCAGAAAACACTTCAAGGTGATAGTTTTCAGATTGCACTTAAAAGCAAGACAGTGATATTTGCTAAAGAACACAAACTGATTTGAGGAATCTGGTACTCTCAGTTTTATGGAGAAGATTTGCAGTCAGCTATCCCAAACTCTGACTTTTTGAGAACCTAACACTAAAAAAAAAAAAAAAAAAAAAACCACTCTTTAAGAGAGAGAATTGTGTTAGAAAGTGATTTTGACTATATATTCTGAATTAAGGTGACCTGCGGAGGCATCTCATGAGAGCTTTGCAATTATACACCGAACGACCCCAATAATAAGAGAAAAAGGGCAAGCCAGTAAACTAAGTGTAAAGAGAAATTTGTAGTGAGCTAGGCACTGCCTACCTTGTGAAGTCTGGTGGAACTGGAGTGGTGACAAATGAGGCCATGGGTTTCCGATGAACCTGCTGGAACATCATCAGGATCTCGGAACTTTTGGATATCAACTCACTCTTACTGCATGATCGTAACTGTATGGAAAGAAACAGGAAAAAAAAATCCTCTGTCATTAGTGGAAACCATAGATTTTGACTGCATTTGTTCTTAAGCGAACTAATTGCATATTAAAACACTGCCTGACACAGCTTCAGGAAACCTTTCTTCTTTTTTCCTGCCTCTTGAAACTGGCAGCTCTTAAGTCTAAGAGTTTTCTATGAGAACTGATGGTCACAACTTCTAAAACGGATATTATTTTTTTTAAAGTATTTTTCTATAGGAGAGAAGCAGATTTGCAAAGCTGCATATGCACCATCACCACTGTTAGAAGGTCGTCATTTGGGTTGCATTATAAACAAGAAATAATTCTTGAATGAGCCCACAAATACCCAAAAAAAGAGATGATGTACAGTAAGCAGAAGCATTCACCCTCCTGACCGCATCAATTCCTCAACACAACGCTCCATTTGGATATAAAATAAATAACTGCAAAGGGAAACACAATAACCTCTGCTCAGGTAATAAAGTCAACTTAGCATTTTATCGAAACAAAGGGGAGATGAAGAATGAATACAGAACAAGAGGCATAACCCAGAGGAATTTTTTCTTCCCCTTCCGCTCCTCCCAGCAGTTTCGATTTCCTCCCCTCCTCACACCAGAAACCCAAGATGCCAGATTCTGCGGAAAGAAAATTACTGGATGCAGTAAGGCTTGTGGAAAAGAAACAAAAACAAGCCAACCAACCCCAACACCCTGCCATTTGCTCAGAGCAAGCAGAAATTTTTCAAGGCAAGTACAATCAGCCCCTGCAGAATCCGAATATTCCTTTTACAAGAGCCAAACTTGTGTTGCTAGGAAAAAAAAAGGAAATATATATATATATATACGCATGCACACACACCCCATATCAACCTCTTGGAGAGGCAGATGGATGGGACTAAAAGAACTAGAACCACTTCAGTTTTCCTCAACAGCATAAAGTGCTATGCCTTTTTTTTTTTTTTTTTTATTTCTCCATTTATAGCTACCACTATTCATAGGCTGTTGGCAGCTGCAAAGCTGATAGAAATTGGCACACAGTCCAAACACTAAGCTAACTTAAGCAGAGCTCTGCAATTTTACATGGTATCGCTGGTAATCCCTGTACTATTTTTTCAAGTAGCAGAGGTGAATACTTACCATCACTCTCAGAAGACAAAATGCTTGCTTTTAAGAAGAAATTGTACAACCTAAAGCCACTTAAGTAAAGAGATAAAAGTAGTTCTATCAATTAAAAAAAAAAGACAAAAGGCTGCTTGATGATGTCTCTATATAACTTTCAACATTTCAACTCTTTCAGAATCACCTGATGTTCCACTTCCTGGAGCAGGGATTCCAGAAGTTCAGTTTCTTGGGTAAGTGATGTCTTTTGACCTGTTTAAAAGGCAAGGAAGACACACTCAATAGATTTTAAGAAATTTAACTTTTTTTTTTTTTTTTTTCCATGGAAGCCGCCCCAAAACCTAGTAAGGTAAAGGATTTCTAAATATACCAAGGTTGCTTGAGAAAACATTTTGAAAGCAAGCCTACATTTTTAATTGGATCTCTATGAAGAGGTCACCTGAGATTTAAGTCAGTAATGAAATATTCCTTGTGTCCCAGAAATAACTTTTCTTTTTTGGGTGTGCTCTTTTGGACAAAAGGCAAAAGCATCTTTGACTTCACTGAACTTCCTCTAATGCAACCAAGACCTTCCCTTGACATTTATGAGAGTGTGAGAGTAAACTAAGAGAGTAAATATAAGCATCCTCAAAAGCAAGGACATTTTCCAAGCACACATACGTCAGTGTTTTTTTTAGTAGGGAAGATTTAAAGCGGTAGAGAGCGTAA